ACTACATGCCTCCAGCAAACCGTGACGCGGGGGAGTGAGACACAAATTTTGTTTATCATCTTTATTAAATCCCCCGTTGAGATACCGAATAAAAAGAGTTATTTATGTCATTCATCATTGAAGAAAAATACATTTCATTAAAAGGGGGAATAATAATTTTTTTTTACACTTATCGACAGTGGAAAGCTTTCATTCTCAACGACTTCAATCCTTGACAGTATATTAGAGAATGTATGTGTCATACGAAAGAGCACTGGACGCATGTGTACATCTTACGACTTAATACTAATCAGCTATATTAATGAATCACTTCTATGAGAAAATACACTGACTCATATGACATACATAGTCAGAGATCGATAAGTTACTCAGCAAAAACATCTTCATCAGTATGTAATGTAAAAGTCGTTTAATGATCAACCAATCGATATTATTGTTGTGAACCCAGACAAATATTTTGCAACTTTGCAATGCTTAGGATGAGGTTAGTTGGTACGATAAACAAGTCATAGTACAAAAACTAACATTCCATAAAGCTTTTAAGAGGAACGGATATTTCCATTAACATGAAAATGCAGATACATTTATGCTGAATAGAATATGTTTACACATCTATTTTATAGAAATAAATACCACATTAGCTTCCTTTGCGTAATTTAAACATTTTATTTATTTGTTTTGCTTTCAGTAAAGAGGCTGTATATTAACTTTTAGATAATGCAAGCATAAGCAGACGTAGTTCGGAAATACAAAACATTACACTTCAGGATTGGGGGTGCACAGTGATGAACTACGATGATGTCACAGGGTCCAGTCAACTATAATTTTAAGGAATTTAATGCAACAGGGTTTCCTAAATGTTATCTATCTAAAGCCATCGAAGTAACTGGCCTAGACTGATGTAGAACTGACGTGTGTAAAGGTATGGTTTGTTTGCATTAGACGTATCTGAAGAGTTACTTATGCCTCTCGTTACATACTGGAATGTGAAATATGCAACAAATTCAAAGAATGCTAATCGAATGCATTGTTTTATTACGGGTACTTCATTGAGTATTACTGTTATAAACAGGTATTACCTGTGTCTCACCTGGATGGCGCATATGTCCTTTAAATACCTACCTTCACGGAGTGAACTTTGAAGTTGGCATTATTACAATGGCTTATATATAACATACAGGGGGTCCCAGTCAACACTTTAAAACAAGTTTATCTTGTTAGCAAATACCCCTTACAAAGAAAGGAAAAGTAGAATACCCCACCCAAGAGAACGCACTACTAAAATCAGGTCATTTCAGCTGTTGTTGTTTTTATTTTGCGGAATATATACCCATGCACTTGTTATGTTGCTTTCTACTGACACTAGAAAAATCAAGCCTATTCAAAGTAATCAGTATATCTTAACGTCTCCCGAACTATTGAAAAAAATGTACAGTTATGTATTTATTTAAAAACAGGTAGCTATTTTTAAGTTTTAGTGTTGAAAACCCCTTAATATACACTTAATACACACTTTGTTATATCAGGATGTGTAAAATTCATTCATTATTTTCCCTGAGATTAACATCTTAAGTTTAGTCACTATCAAATCCGATTAATGTAGTAACTTTCTCATAACTGTAAAACCACAAATATGTTCAAATAACGTACACACATAATTCTCTAATGCAGCTAATTTAATTCGGGAATTTCAAAAATTTCCGGATCTCATTTTCTAACAAGATGAATTTCGAACAAAGAACATTGACAAAACACCGTATTGAGAAAACATATTTTGCCTGTAAGGCGATACATCTTAAATGCATGGTCTTAAATATTCCTTGTTCCATGAAAATGCAGAAACACTGTCGACAGGTGTTTGTGTCAACTGTATATATATATCAAGTCAAGTTTTAAAACAAATAAGGAAGACAAAAAACATATTTAACCCAGATTTACTAATGAACTAATTAACTTGCATATGTACCAATATCATCTGTCATAAGGATAGAAAATTATCTTAATTGTACAAGGTCGGGAAAGCACGGCGAGCCGGGACTTACCGGAAACACATGATACTTGTAATAAATGTAAATATTAATTATCATGTGTTTTTATGATCTTGTTTGATTTTGATATGACAGTCACACGAAATACACACAACGGAAGTACACAAAATACTTAATAATTGTAGGATATCCTTTACAGCTTTGTGAAAATAATTATATTTTAGAATCAAGTAAATATATAAAGACATATTTAGTTTGATATTTCCCAAATTTGTGTGCATTGTTGTGCTATTGTATACCATTTAGACCGATTGTTTCATAGCTACAGTATTTTCACCTTTAAGGTATAAAGTAAAGAATTTAAAAACGAAACTCTTTGTCACTAAAGTGAGCAACATTATTTTATCAATAAAACAGTAATGGATTTGACATTAAATGGGGGTCGTCCACCTATTTGTACGACTTTGCCCCCAGCAGAGCTATAGAAAAACAGTACATTAACGGGTGTTACACGGACACTTTTTAGATGATACACGGACACTTTTTAGTTGTTACACGGACACTTTTTATGAATAGAATCACTCGTGCGTGATCAGTGAGTTCATGGGCACTTTAAATTTCAATTAGATTTGAACTTTTTGTTTCACCGACATATTTCTTGTCTTTGTCATTAAAATATTTACGTTGGCATCAATAACTAATTTTTTTTCAAACAATTCCAGTATATTACTATTCATATCAGTACACTAAGGGATTGACCATTTAACTTCAAAAGGGGAGTTATGTGTTTTCCTAAAAAATATTCTGATCCCCAATTTTATGAGAAAAAATATATTGTGGTCAATCAGATGACAAAATAAAGTTCTGATTCCTGATTTTCCGAATACCGTATATAATAGTGCTAATTTCGAAAAAAAATATTTGGGTGATAGCGTTGATAAACTAAATCATTTTCTTACTCAGAAAAAAAACATACCCCCCTTTTGAAGCTAAATGGTCGGTCCGTAAATGTTATTTTTTTTTTTTTCAATATATGGACATGAATAGTATTCTGGACAATGCTGAAAGTAAAGAAATGCTGGTACCGACGTTTATATTTCAATAAAAAAGACAGGAAATATATATAAAAAAATCAAATCTAATCAAAAGATAAAATCCATATCAACTCACCAATGCACGATTGATCCTATAAATAAAAAGTGTCCGTGTAATACATGTTCAAATAGGCAGCAAATCTTGAAGAAAATCATTCAACTTATGTCACCAATTTTGGACGGTAAGCTGCGATTGGATCATATTGTGACACGTGTTTGATCCTGACCAACACTATTAGAGACATATATAAAAACCTATAAGAATAAAATATATAAAAAAAATCCAAAATATATGCCTATATATGGGTGATTTTAACAAGACAAAATCGATTTTTTCGTACCATTTCATTCACTAATGAAATAGGAAGTTCATTCTTTTTATATTGTTATTGAATTTATACATTTGGGAGCAAACGTACGATTTTTATTATTTTTTAAGGCGGAATGGGGAATGGAATGACACATCCTGCATGTTTTCAACAAAAACGAATCAAGCCTGTTTATTTTGAATTTATTTTAACCCCCCCCCCCCCCCTTTTCCGTTTTCCCCCAAATAAAAATCAAATGTTAGCTTGCTTACCTCTGAAATCTTTTTCATACATTACTTACTTGCGAAGATGCATTTTCAAAAGTCTCAAATGTGTACGACATTCATCTTTTACTTGACATGGTTCTTTTTTTTTATGAAATTATTAGATTCTTAAATTTCTTTAGAAAAAACTATAGGCTGAAGGGAAGTGAAAAAAAAGTTTGTTTAAACTGTCTTACTGTAACTTACATTAACTGGTATATGCCATTTAAGTTTCGAATATGTTAAATTTTGATACCTCTTCTACATGCAAAATGTACTACTTCTTTCTTGAAACGTCGTACAAGTCAGATACAAAACAAAGGTAACAAAAAACAGGCCGGAAACAAACTGCCGAATAGTTTTTCTGCACTCGTAGTCAGGTCAAGGTCCTCGGCTATCGCCTCGGACCTTCACCTGACTACTCGTGCAGAAAAACTATCCGGCAACGGTTGTTACCGGCCTGTTTCTTTGTTACCTTTGTATTGTATCTAATACTTAATGCTTTTTATGTACTGGTCAACGACTTCTACCCAACAATGGCTAATGACAACAAAAACATTCTAGACCATATCTGCATCTCAATTTTAATTTGTTAATATTTATATAAGAACACATATGATTGCATTGACCTTATGGTATTCAGTGCGATGCACATAGAGTGGCACAACTGCTCCGATTATACATTTTATTTAAACTCGGTGTCTTAATTGGTCTATCAATTGTTTTCAAAAGCTAAAATAAGCTCCATAAGAATGCAAATGTGTTATATCAGTTAATTTTGCCCATCCCCACACGGGATCAGCACTGGATCGAAATCACACCAATTTACCTTCTAAATCTAATGCAACTGTACCAAATTCAGAACGGTTGAAATAATTTGTTACATAATTATATTTTTGTTAATTTTTTGTCATTTCACTCTTCTGATCGATATCAAAGATCTTTGATAGGATGGATGAGAAAGAGAAAAATACCCATTGAATAGTGCACTTTAAATTGGTTCACTGTACAATCAGTAGTAGTTTAATCACTTCGTACCAACGTAAGGTTAACGTACCTGATAGTTGGGAGAATTTGGATAGTAGTAATCCAGTTGAAGCGTTTTTTCTATTATTTGGAGGATGTTTTTTAACAGTTTCTTGAATGCAACATTCATGTTTACTACTTGTCTCCAAAATTGTTAAAAAGTAAGGATTTAATGTTTTCTTTGTCGTGAAATATTCGAGGAAAATTGAATTTTCAAGGTCTTTGAGTCTATTCATTGTTGAAGACCAACCAATCAAATGCCAGTAAATATAGTATGTTCCGCCCTATTCTTAGTATAGGTATAAAACCAACGACTTTAGTACGTTATCATTTAAACATACGACAACTATTGCTCATAACACGTGGATATATATTTCTTAATTTATTGGAAGTATTGTATTTGTTTGTTGGATAATAAGTTATCTGGATTACACACAATTTATAATGACATTCTCTGAGGATATTGCAGTTTTCATGGAATCGCAAAGGTAAATATAATAATCATCTTTTGTTAATTAGTATCATTAAGTTCAGATGTTCTGTGTGTTAACTATCTCTTTTCTCTTTTGTTAAATTGATAGTGACTACATTTGTAAATAAAGCGCTAACATTAAAACTGCAACTCATATAAAGTCTCATACATTTATAGTGCCACATATAATTAAACAAAGCATACATTTTTTTGAAAAAGCAATACGCCAAAAATCGAGCAAAAATCGAGCAAAAATCACAAGCATGGAGACAATGGAAATGTTCGAACACATATTGTTAGGTACATTATGCTATGGGTTGATACCTGACCGTTTTAAACAAAGTATGCAAATGCATTTTTCTGAGTTTAAGGTCAAAGTTCATTCAATATATGCCTTTTCACATCTTGTCATTGAAATCATTGATTTGCAATAGACAAGTTTGAAAAATGTAGGACGTTATCTAGACACCTGTGACATTTGTTAATTACGTATTACTGATATATTGCTGTGAAATCAGAAAAGAAAAATGTTACAAACGCAGAAAACATGAAACATTATGTATTTTAACCTCCTACAGTCAATGCAACAGTGGGCGTCACATGATAATATGCGTAAGATGTAGGACGTCCTATATAAAATATTTCACCTTTCATGGATTATGCAAGGTTATTACGAAATATGCTGTTTACTGCAATTATATAAACGATGAACTGAAAAAACATTGCATAATTCACAAACATGTTTCATAAACATGCAAAGTTCAAGCGCTTTTCTCTGTTTTTCAGATAAAATTTCAAAATTATTTCGTACACAGTTACAGAAAGTCATAGTTATAATTTTCTGTTTCTTTTCCAGAAATGTAAACAACATAGGGTTTGCACTGAAAAAGTTGCTAGTGAAGGCACAGGAAGATGGTAGAATCGTGGTGGGAGTTTATGAATGCGCACAGATCTTGCAAAAGTAAGTTTACATATTATTAGTGACTGTACGTCAATAGTAAACATAAATGAACAGTTGGCAAAGATGCTAGCAGTAAAATGGGATTCGGTAAAAATAACGAAATATAAATGAAGAGTTGGCAAAGATGCTAGCTGTAAAATTGGATTCAATAAAAAAAAATATATAGTATTTCATTTTATTGCTTTGTCAGAACTTTGATATCCGGTTCGGTATTCATTGTTTTATATTTATGATTTTCTCTTTTTTTTACAGTTCTCCAGAAACAGTTCGACTGTGCTTGCTGCCAGAGATGGCCGAAACAGACGTGACAGTTCAAATTCATCATAAACTTGTTGAAGCTTTCTGCTGGGAAAATGATATCGAAGTCGTTAAGGTAAGATTACATAAGAGCTTTTGTAATCATTTTTATGAAACAGGATATTCCATTTAGTATGTAGTAAATTATTTTTTTGGAAAGTCGTTGTTTTATTTCCTAGTAATAAACAAGGGGATTCCCTGAAATAGATCGTGCATAGTTTTGAGAAACAAGGATGTTAAATATCAAGTCAATGAAAATTCTGAGAAAATCAATATTGCAACCTACGCAAAGTAACAGATAAACATGTTTATAGTGTATTTGTTATATCATTACGTTACTTTTTGTTATTGTTTTTCAGGTTGACAGTTTAAAAAAAATGGAAAAGGTGCTAATCGGCGAGGAGGTGGAAGGGAATGGTATTGAATGTGTGTTGATACAGAACGCCAAGACAGACGGCAGTGCTGATGAGTTCATAAATAACTACTATTCCATGTTAGCCAACCAAAGTCCTGTTATTGACCTGCCTGAATGAAGAAAATCCAGGGTTTTCATTGAACTTTCCAGGTAAATAAAACAAATTTGTTTGATAGCATTCATACTATTTGTGATAGCATTCATACTATTTGTGATAGCATTCATACTATTTGTGACTTCTGTATAAAGGATAAAAAATAGCATAAATGATTTTTTGAAGAGACGAAACTATCCAGATTTTTGGAGATAAATGACCACACAATTTATTTTACTGTGCATGTTTAAAGCTATTGAAGATGTAAAATGTATTTGTAAATATATGTGTATTCTGGTTTGACAGTCTTCTTTATTATTTGTTCAGGAAGCCAAAACCTGGTCAATCAAATTAATCTACATAGACAGAAAAAGTCAGCTTCAAGAGGACGTCAGATGACAACTCTGGAGAACCATAGACAGAACACATGACTAGCACCTCAACTGTTGCATACCGTTTGCAATAGGTAGTACAATTACTACTCTGATCCAGTGCTGCACCAAGAATGTTCCTACCATAACCGTGCTCATCATTGATAATCAACTGTTGTGAACTGCTAGCAACATATAACATCAGTCATTATATGGGTGTCAGAAGACTGTGAATATTTCAGATCGTCGTGGCATACGTAATTAGACTTAAAAGATCATGTTCGTGATAGATAAATTTTATTGCATATATCAATGTAATGATTCAGAACTTTAGAGCATATATTCATTGTGCTCCTACAGTAATTGTTAGCCAAGATTGGACATCGTTTGCTTTAATTGTGTATTATCATTTAGTTTATGTACATTTATGACTTCAAACAAACATGACTCATTTTGTGAAGTATATGAAAGTTTATAAATATATATTGTATAAACTTTCACTGTTTTTAATTATAAAATAGAAAATGTTTATGAATAAATATTTGAAAATATTTTAACATGATGTTTATTCAAGTTAAAACAAAAAAAATTTTTTGGCCTTCAGATACAAAAAAAAAACCAAACTGAGCAAACGCTACAAACACTATAGAACACTATAGAACAAAGTCCCAAAACCGAAAGCGATAACAATCAAGACAGGACTGAAGTTTGCTTTTTACAAATAAAAGAACAAGCATGAAGTAAAAAGTTCATTTACGAATCAGTTTTGTATTGACAGGAAAAAATCGAAGGTACAAAAACAAGTTTTTATTGTTAATGCACAATAAACAAGACCGTCGGAAAGAAAACAGGAAATCTATTGTATAAACAGAACATAATTAACTTCCGAAGCACGTAGTCCTTCAGTTGTTATTTCATTGAATGTGCTTGATCATCAGTTTAATACTTATTTTCTAAGAAGTTTTGTTCGCTTAAAAAGTGACCGTAACTTTTAAGGATCAAATGACCAATACTTAAAGTGATAACAATGAACAGTTTGTACAATTGTCACTGTAAGAAGTCAAAATGAAACGATTTTTGTTATTACTTTAAATCGTATTGTATATCTTAAACAACATGCAGGATCTACTGTTTCAATCTTTTGTTGAAGTACGTCAGTGTATTTCCGTAGTCAGTTTTCCTTATAGCATGTCAATTGTCTCAGTAGGAGGTAGAGGGTTTTTTTTTCAATTTTATACCCAACAAAAAAGAACCGACAATTAATCTTTTCAATTAGAAGAGTAAATATTATAAGGTACATCTCTGAAAATCTTCTATAACAGCAAAAAAACTTGAGAATGGCACTGTGAAACATCTCTTTGTCTAATTATGATAACCAATATTGCGTCATTAAAAATCGATATTCCACGTGTTGTCACTTACATAAAAAAAAACCAGAATTCTGAAATTCGGTATCTGTTACTTAAAGGAGATCTTGCAAAAAGATGTGCATAATTGAGAACAATTATGTAACGCAGGGTCTGTTTGTTTCTAAAGGTAATGTTGGGTTATTGAAAAGTTAATAATGAAGCATGCCAGATATCGTTTTTCTGACCTAGGTAGTTTTCATGTAGCCATTGATGAAAATCTGCTAACATTATTTCAAATGGAAGTTGTCATTCTCTTTAAAAAGACGTACTTCACCTAAATAACTGCTACAACCAAAACACAAAGATGGTCGTTTAAACAGCAACACAAACGACTGAAGTCGAATCAGGTGGTTCCGATATGTCGAAAGTGTATCGTATGCCAAATCAAATGAAAAATGAATTGGAGAAATAATTTGCAGTGTATCGTTGTCATCATACATTCATTCCATAGTTTGGAGATTATCTGTAGACTTGTCTTCTGTAAAGCAGTGTACATTACAAGTCCGATACTTTTATTGATAATTAGCAACAAGACGTGTGTCACTAATAAAGCATGCACATACTACTCCCGGATCACCTGGGTTAACCCCATCCCGATTTATTTGTGGTTACGTGTTTTTCAATAACTAGTAGTATTTTGTGACCTGTTGTCTATCTTACGTTTTTTGTCTTTTTGCTGATTTGCAGCGATCTCGATCACAGTAAAAAGTAAATAGAATCTATTTGATCGGAAGCCAATCGATATTGTTCCGTATTGCACTAAATTATCACCAAATAACGGCAGCTAATCCAAATCTCCTCGTGAATATATATTTCATATACATGTATCCTCGGGACGCAAACAAAGTGAATTGTACATTAAATTAGTAGGTTATTCAAAGTGTGTAGACCAAGATTGAGGTTGGTAAGATGTAGGACCGATTTCCCTTGATTTTTTTCACTCTCAGTGTTAAAATCACAAACTTGTAAACTCTACTGGCCTTCAAACAATGACCTAAACCCATTCCGTATAGGAGAGTTAAGGCGACAGTAGTTTACCCAATTCAAACGATAAAACAAACGGCTTGATTTATTAGCACACATATATATCTATGATACTGTAAATGTTGGTAACGATCTGGCCTTGTAACAGGTTATCTGCAGACTAGGGTTCTTCAACTTAAAGAGACTGCGACACTTTCTCAATATCTATAATCGGATGAAACTTCCACGTGGTTGTGTATTTAACATCCCGCATATTCGCACGTACAAGAAGCACTTGACTTTTTTTTATTGTGGAACTAAGTTCCGGGATAGCCACACGCACTCTTGTACTTGTAAGATTTTATTTGATAGCCGATATTAGGTTTTATCACACATCATTGATTCGTTTCCTGTTACATTTGTTTTTCTTTCAAATAAGTAAAGAATGATGATGATGATGGAAGGCTGCTTAGCGTCCAGCAGCAAATTAATATGCATATTCAGGACGAGAACATGTTAATGTAATATGAATATTAACCCTGCTTTGTACTAGACCGACACGCTGAGCCGGATTTTTAACGTCCTAGTTTACAAGGTAACTGTCCGCAGGAAGACATTTCACCTTACCAGGATACATTATTCTGACTCCGAGCCGACCAGTCTTTGCTCTTACTCCTTAATGCCGCGTGCTTAGCGGAGAAGCAGCAAATACCAATTTTAATGTCTTTGGCTTGACCCGGACGGAAATAAAGGACATTCTAGTTGGTTCTGCAAAGTGTGTAGACTGGGATAGAGTTTGGGAAAGATGTAGGACCGATTACACCGTGGTTTAATCGTGGTAAATATGCTTTTATGTTAAAGTCAAAAACATAAAACAAAATTTTAAAAAGACTCCCGTCTGTCTTTGGTTTGCTTTCTCTTCATCATGATATTTCAGTAGTTCTTCGGCTTGTAATTTTTCCTATTTCTCTCTTTGTCAGACCTTTAATATACGCCTTTCGCATTTGTATCCATTATATCCATTTTGAACTTGCATGAACTATTGAAAATATTGGTCGCTGAGCAAACAGCAATACCAATACTTAACGTTTTCCAGGCGGCAATTTGATAAGGGAGAGACGACCATTTTATATTCGGGGTGGGGGGGGGGGGGGGGGGGAGTTATTTTCGGATTGGTCATTTATTTGTCACTTATTTTCATCTGGTGCTACGCATGCTTATATTTATTTTGACTTTTGTATACATTTGTTTCCGGTATTTTGTGTTTGCAGAATATTCATTTGCATTCTGTCTTGTGCAAAGTTATCTATTTTCAGTTCTTACCAGGCAAAGTTATCTATTTTCAGTTCTTACCAGGCAAAGTTATTCCTTTTCAAAATCTACCTGCCCTTCCCCCAGAAAATCAAATGGTCGTCTCCTATTTAAAATGCAGACAGAAAACAAAAGAGTGAATAGCAAGAATAAAAGTGCATATCGCAACCGATCCCCTATGTAATAGGACTTTCCCTGGGTATCTTCGTATTTTTTGAACGAAATTTATTTTTGAAATTATTAAAACAAGGTAACGATGTGCGCATTTATTAACTGTAATATGCATTGAACTCTTTTCAACACAATTCACTCCTGATTATACAATTTAAGAATAGTTTTTCTTACTAAGTTATGAATGTTAATGATCTATAACCTATATACTGACTATAGTGTGAACTATTTTAAGTTTAGATTATTGATGTTTAGGTTTTTTTTTGCATAATTATTGCAAAGCTGTCAACGTTTAATGTAAATATGAATAAAAACATACCAATAAAATGAACATCAAAATGATTAAAAGATGTTAAATGTCAAGTTAGTCATATTATCATATTATACAATGGTTGTTATCATTTGAAACAACTAACGGAAAATGTTATTGCGCGACTAAAACATCCCAATGTCTTTTTTCAAATGCTTACTATATAAGAATAAATAAAGAGATGTGGTATGATTACCAATGAGACACACCAGAGTTCAAATGAAGTAAATGTAAGCAATTATAGGCAACCTTACGTGGCCTTCATATTCGTACTAACATATTATTAGATATACGATAACAACTATCACATTATCATTTTGCAGTAATTCCGACTAAACCTAAGAAGCAAGCATTTCTCATTCCCGTTTAAAGGCAAGATAGGTAAAAATTGTTTGCTCAAATCTCTAGGCGTTTTATATTAGTCGTTTTATTGGTAAATGTAAGGATCTTCACCGCGCAACACGGCGTTTTAGGTTAAACGTCCACATTCAAGCCAGAATAGGCGTTGCATTAATTTATTCATTTCGTGCAATCAAATTGACGAAAAGTAACATGCTTCAAATTATAATTCATTTTTTTTATTCTTGATTCCCGGAATCAGTTTAGGTAAAAGCCTTTATACTCATATTTTTGTTATTTTTGATTTCCGGAATCAGTTTGGGTGAAAGCCTTTATACTCATATTTTTTTATTCTTGATTCCCGGAATCAGTTTGGGTGAAAGTCTTTATATCTTTTGTATTCTTGATTCCCGGAATCAGTCTGGTGAAAGCCTTTATTTTTTTTATTCTTGATTCCCGGAATCAGTTTGGGTGAAAGCCTTTATATTTTTTTATTCTTGATTCCCGGAATCAGTTTAGGTGAAAGCCTTTATACTCATATTTTTGTTTTTCTTGATTCCCGGAATCAGTTTGGGTGAAAGCCCTTATACTCATATTTTATTATTCTTGATTCCCGGAATCAGTTTGGGTGAAAGCCTTTTTATTTTTTTTATTCTTGATTCCCGGGATCAGTTTGCGTGAAAGCCTTTATATTTTTTGTATTCTTGATTCCTGGAATCAGTTTGGGTGAAAGTTTTTATATTTTTTGTATTCTTGATTCCCGGAATCAGTTTGGGTGAAAGCCTTTATATTTTTGTTATTCTTGATTCCCGGAATCAGTTTGGGTGAAAGCCTTTATATATTTTTTATTCTTGATTCCCAGAATCAGTTTGGTTGAAAGCCTTTATACTCATATTTTTTGTATTCTTGATTCCCGGAATCAGTTTGGGCGAAAGCCTTTATACTGATATGTTTTGTATTTTTGATTCCCGGAATCAGTTTGGGTGAAAGCCTTTATATTTTTTTTTATTTATTTGATTAACAGTCGATATGTTTTTTTCTTTTTATCAAACAA